CCACCTAGGAGGAAATTCCAGATCCTTAACTTTGGGGAGTTTTATGTGCTATTGGTGGGGTTCTTTGACCTCAGATTTTATATCTAACAATTTGGGAGCTCAGTCTGACATTATAATTCCACCTAGGAGGAAATTCCAGATCCTTAACTTTGGGGAGTTATGTCCCATTGCCCTGTTTGTGGTGGCCCTAAGGTGTGAGTGTTTGGTGCTCCCTAGATCACTAATAATCCCCAAAAGGCAAAGTCTGTCAGAAATGTAAGGGAAGGGCCCAAGCAAGCATTAAGACCAGGCAAGGTAAGAAAAGTTATGGAATGGCAAAGTATTGTTCTTGTAATATTGGAACATTCTGGGGGTTGAGAGTGAATGAGACACATATTTGAGTGCACAAGATGAGTGCGGAGCCCTAATCTGCGGTACCTTTGGGGGAATCCCACGGAGACTGGTGAAGTAACAGACTTAGAACGTAGGAAATCTCCTCCTCAGAGATGGGAGGTTGAGCTTCTAAGGGACTGGAATGAGAAATAATTAAACCAAACTGAGCTCTAGGGGAAAAAAGAGGGGAAAAAGGAAAGAAAGCAAAGAAGGTTCCCCCAGGCAGCAGGGAAACAAATTCCTCTAGTTAGTCCAGAGGCTTTTCCACCACTTTTACTTTTTGTATATCCTTTCCAGCCCCAGCTAAGGGAAAAAATTAGTTTTTGAACAATGTGAAAGAGACCTCAGAAATTTTCACTTCCCTCTGACTTCCCAGGAGAAGGTCCAAATTTCATTTCCCTTTGAGGGAGAGGAATTAGATTTGCCCCACTAAGTAACACTGAGGTCAGAAATCTAAAAAGAGAAATTCTTATTGGAGAACCCCTTTCGGGTAGCCGACCAGTTAGACTTGTTCTTAGGGACCCAGTTTTATACCTGGGACAAATTAATGTCTATGCTGAGCATTCTGTTCTTGGGAGAAGGGAGGATGATGATCAGAAGGGCTGCGCTGGTTATTTGGGAAAACATCCAGCAAATTGAGGGTGGGGGTTGGTTCTAACACGAGAGGTTAAAACGTGTACATGGGCTACAAGATCTGACTATGAGAGGGATGAAAGAATCTATTCCTCCATCAGTAAAGTTTTTAATATCCAACTAGGAAGGGATAAGTTTCAGCTGAATTTATTTTTCCTAAAGAGACCAGATGAGAAAATATTCTGGATTAAAATTGGAGGATTCCCTTGGCCAAGGAATGCTTAAACTACATTTTATGACCAATGGTTGGCTAGATATTTATAAAAAGTTACAAAAGATAGAAATTGGAACAGAGTGGCTAGGTACTGTTAGGTCTGACACCACCTTAGATCATGTGGTCTCTAGGTAGTTACTTTTCTAAATGGGTAAAACCTCCACATAAGCCTGATAAGGTTTTAAATCAGGATTAACTATTTTTAACAAGTTGTTTTCTAAGGTACTTGAGTCAACAAGAAGGGCCACGGATCTTGTCTGAGCTCAGCCTGTGACATGCTTGGGTAAAATAAAATGGAGTCAAGGTCATGTTTTAGCATACTTCCTCATTTCTTCCCCTTCCCTCAAAAGCTCCTTTTCCAATAATAGCTTGTATATAGGTATGAACACAAGGAGACGGGAAAGATGCAGGCAGAAAGAGAACCTGATAACCTGGAGAGGAGATCCAGATAACACTGCTTGGCATTTACAATTACAATTGATGGTAAGAGAAAAAGACTCCCTCTCTTGGTTTTAGACCATGAAATTCCAGAAAAAAAGAGGTCCACATTTAATCTGTGAGATATGTGAATACAACAGGGCTTGTGCCCTGATAGGGATGGGCTCATTTTATTATGGAACTGAACTCACCAAAGTAACTATGTGCCTTTGTCACTGTCTTTGCTGGTGACCTCATCAAGATCAAGGCAACCAAGTAATCTGGTCATCTTGGTTAGTGACATTTTCAAAATGGCAGTGACCATGTGACCATGTCGCCATCTTGGTTGCAGCAACCACATGACATAAACCAAAAAGGTGGTGCATACTGGTGCTACCGAACCCTAAGGGATCATCATTCACCAGTTCCATTCAGCAGAACTGTGGCAGGAGACTAAACTCTGGGTCTGTTTGAAGCAGACAGATATAAGACCTCAGCCTTTCTTCTCTGGGTTTTCATATAGTTACTTTGGTTAATGTATAGCATATAACAAATTAAAGAGATAGCTCAAAAAAATTTGTTGTTGTGTGATAGAGAATCAAGTAGACTAAGAGTGACAGCTAAACTGGTGTATGCAAAGGCCAAATAATAAGAGGCCCTGTCTCAAACAAAATGGAGGGTTGAGACAACCTGAGGTTGCCCTTGAACCCTCCATCTTTGTGCTTGGGCTCACACATGAACACATGCACACAACTGCTCACACACACATGATGTGCACACACACATAGAATTAAAAATTTAAAAACAATTTTAAAAGGAAGGAGTGAAGCTGGAGTGATGACTTAGCAATTAAGAGCAGTTACTGCTCTCGTAAAGAACCTGAGTTGGTACTTAGCACCCATGGCAGGCCACTAACAACTGCCTGTAACTCCAGGGATCTTATAAATTCATCTGGCCTCTAAGAGTACTCACACACACGCATACACTAAAATAGATACACACATATACACATAAATAAAAATAAAAATAGATATTTAATAAAAGGAAGAAGCAAAGGTAAAGAAACAGT